TTAATTTTATTGAATGGAAAACCATGTTTTAAAATAGCATTCCAAATTCTTGGCCCTTTACAAATGATATGAGAAAAAAGTATGAATGTTTTTGATTTATTTGCTAATATATTATATTGACGTCTGGAATTATTTATCCGAATAAAATAATTATTGAAAATAGAAGGAAGTTTGTTTGAAAGTTGTTTATATACAAAATTGGCTGTAAAATATAAATTTAATTTATCAAAATCTAAATTATTAGTTAATTTGAACAGTTGAGGTGTGTGAGCATCTTTTCGAGAAAGCGTGATGATCCTCATTGCTTTTTTCATCAGAACTTTTACAGACATGGTAGTTGATGGGTAAGCACTGGCCCAAATGACGTTGCAGTATGATACATGGGGCAGACAGATGGCGTTATAAAGAAGGTTTAAACATTTTTTTGGGAGATAAAACTTTATTCTATTAATTATTCCTATTGATCTGGCCAACTTGGTTGAAATGTGATTGACGTGGGGTTTAAACGTTAGTTTCCGATCTAAGAGGACACCCAAAAATTTTACTATTTTGCTCTCGACTATTTCTTGATTGTTAATTGTGATTTTGAACGGTTCTTTATAGTTTAAACACTGCACTGGACCGAAGACGATCATTTGGGTTTTTGAAGTATTCAGTGCTAATTTATTGTCGTTGAACCATTTGACGACGTTTTTTAATTCAACATTTGTTCGGTCAATAACACCATCGATGTTAGTTTCGCTACCAAAAATGTTGGTGTTATCTGCGAAACAAACATAATCAAAGTAGTTTGATGCATTTGGCAAATCGTTGATAAACAAGATGAAAAGTAGTGGTCCCAAGATACTTCCTTGTGGGACTCCACACCATTATGTTGTAATGTTGAATTTTTATTTCCCCAGCTGACAAACTGCTTTCTTTCAGACAAATAACTTTCAAACCATTTCAAAGTCGTTCCTCTTATGCCATAGTGTTCAAGCTTACCCAACAGGATGGAATGATCAATACAATCGAAAGCTTTCGACAGATCTAGACAAGTTCCTACGATGAATTGTTTTTTCTCCGCAAGCTTTCCAATTTTCCTTACGAGTTCTATTATTGCCAGTTCTGTTGAATGTTTCTCTCGAAACCCGAACTTTTAACATGATAGAATATTATTTTTTTCTAGAAACGATATTATTCGTTTATGCATAATTTTTTCAATTATTTTCGAAAATGCAGGAACTAATGAGATGGGTCGAAAATTAGAAACATCATTATTTCCGGTTACTTTCTGTAACGGTATGATTTTAGATGTTTTGAAGCATCTAGGAAAAATACCTTTTGTGAGTGAGCGATTGATGATGTGCTCGAGAACCCAGGCTGTGGAGTGGATTGTTGATATGACTATTTTTGTTGGAATGTTATCCCGGCCGCTAGATGATTTTGGAGCCAGCAGTTTTGTTGCGAAAATAATTTCTTCTGCAGATGCGTGGAGGCAAAAAAACAAATTTGGTATTTTGTTGCCAAGAAACTTTTTCCATTGATTATTTGTTTGAAATGATTTAAGCAGATTTGGTGCTATGTTGATAAAATAATCATTCAAAAAATTTTCTGGATTTTCAATTATTTGTTCATTTGAAGTTACTTGCAAATTCGTTTTATTGCCACTGGATCTATTCGATACTTCCTTAATTATTGACCAAGTTTTTTTGCTGCTGTTTATATTTTGCTCGATTTGGTTGGTGTAGTATCTACGTTTTAATTTGTAATACATACATACATACATACATACATACATACATACATACATACATACATACATACATACATACATACATACATACATACATACATACATACATACATACATACATACATAATACATACACGTGCCGATGTGGCGCTGGGGCGGACGAGTTTGGGCACCACGGTTTGGTTTGTCGCCTGGGTGGGGGCCGTCAACTACGTCACTCAGCATTAAACGACTACATTTGTCGGCTCTTCTCCAAGGCTTCAATCCCGGTTCTCAAGGAACCATCCGGCATTTCTGCGCATGATGGTAGGCGTCCGGACGGATGCACATTAATACCTTGGAGAGCCGGTAGATGTTTGGCGTGGGATGTTACGGTCCCTGGCACCCTTGCCGAACGATATGTAAACCAGACAAGTAAAGAATGCGGTTGGCCGCGGCCAGGGCAGCGGACGAGAAAATGAAAAAATATGGGAACGCCCTCCTCTCGATGGAATTCTTGCCAATATGTATCGAGGTTCTCCGCCCGATAGACCCCAACACCCTTAAATTTCTTAAGGAAATATGCAAAATGATCAGCGTCAGATCAGGCGACAGCAGGGAACTGTTTTTTGCAACTAACCACATTTCGTGCTTGTTGCAGCGGTTCCTGCGTGTCTGTGTGCTTGAAAATATCCAACTGAATGCCGACATGTGCAATTAACGACAAATCAAAGTGTTAATCCATTTGTTACTTGATGTTTGACGGTTCAGTGTCACTCATCATGTTTTGGTTTTAACATACATACATACATACATATATACATACATACATACATACATACATACATACATACATACATACATACATACATACATACATACATACATACATACATACATACTTACATACGACCATATCCCTAAGCCATGCAGGGAGAAGTTCGCACATGATCTGAACGCCTTGCTGAGGGCTGTTTGTAATGACCCTGGTGACCCGGCTCACTGGGTTAGACTCCACTGTTTTGTCCCATACGTCTTACAGAAGACTTCCAGAGGGGGTCGCCGGGTCAACTAGGGCAATCTGGTCAACAAGCGTCTAAGCGAATATTCAACTATTGGTCTTGAAACCTTGGTACTGTGCTTTGATGGGTTCAATAATGCAAAATCACAAAAGCACAACCCCGATCGGTGGATCAACGCTGTGTCATCTTGTATTGAACAGTGAAACCTGTCCTCGGCTGTCAGACTTGTCTGTTCACCGGAGGGCCTGGCGGAGAGCTCGCCAGCCACTTTCGATTCACCCGAAAATTCCGGTGGTCAGGCGGGTCTTACCCGCATTGGCACCAACGGCTGGTTGCGTTTCTCCCGCCGAGGTGCTGAGGGCCGTTAAATCGTTCAAAAACGGTTCTTCCGGAGGCCTGGACGGCCTACAACCCCAGCACCTCAAGGATGTTTTTTCTGGCCTCTTGCCAATCGACGACACACTGAACTCCTTAACCCAATTCATTAATTTGATCCTATCTGGAGCTTGCCCACTCTCCGTCCACCGGTTCTTCTTTGGAGGCCGGCTAATAGCTTTAAATAAGAAAGACGGAGGGGTCAAACCGATTGCGGTCGGGAATGCTTGGAGGAGGTTGGCCGGCAAATGTTTTATATATAGATTATTTTGGTGTTGTTAGCTTTAAATAAGAAAGACGGAGGGGTCAGACCGATTGCGGTCGGGAATGTTTGGAGGAGGTTGGCCGGCAAATGTTTTATATATAGATTATTTTGGTGTTGTTGGCATTAATCAAATTTAGAGTTTGTCTTTTCAATTTTCCTTACTAGAATTTTTTGAAAATTGTCCAATTTATTGAAAATAGAATTATTATCCACTTTCCTTCTGAAAATTTAATAAAACTGTTGCATGCATTGTATTATATATCATACACGATTTGAAACAATTGCATTAATGTTTAGCACGTAACTATGCAAGTTTGTCTGTGTGGAATGAATGTTTGTTTGGTATGTCTGTTCACACAAGTATTTGTATATTCGTACGTTTTGTAGGAACGGTGCTTGTTTGTATGCATGCATGTTTGAATTAGCGCTTGTGTTTTGTTTGAATACATGCTGTCTTTTATTTCCAGACGCAGTCAGATGTTCACTTATTTGTTCAACATGCGTTCACAGATTCGTCACTGTTTGTGGATGCAATCATTTTCGCTGGAAACGATGTTGCTAATGGAGACATCAACATTGAAGAAGTGGAGAGCCGCTCGCCTGCCAACCTACTTACCTACCTACCTACCTACCTACCTACCTACCTACCTACCTACCTACCTACCTACCTACCTACCTACCTACCTACCTACCTACCTACCTTCCTACCTACCTACCTACCTACCTACCTACCTACCTACCTACCTACCTACCTACCTACCTACCTACCTACCTACCTACCTACCTACCTACCTACCTACCTTCCTACCTACCTACCTACCTACCTACCTACCTACCTATCTACTACCTACCTACCTACCTACCTACCTACCTACCTACCTAAGCTGTCAACCTTCTGCATAAACAGTTGTAACTTTTATGATAAAAATGTGTTTTCGCTTCCGCTGCTGATGGTTATGATGATGATGGTGGTGATGATGTTGGTGATGATGGTGGGATTATGTGTCGTTATAACTGGTTAGGAGCAATGATGTTATGGCTGATGATCACGTGCATGCATAATCTAATACGATGTAGTTGTCCTTCTCAGGTACGTGCAATTATTTCCTCTCTCTCCATCTATCTGGTTGTCTGCTGTTTGTTTGTGCTGGCTGAATGTGTGGCTGCGTGTGTTGTTTAATTTGTGTTGAATGTGTATGTAATGTTTGTGTTGAATGTGTGTGTATCTGTGTGTGTGTTGTTTGTTTGTGCTGAATGTGTACGCCATGTTTGTTTTTATTGTGTAAGCTTTGAATATGCATATGGAATGTGCACGTACGATGTTAATACATCTGCTTATGAAGATGGTGCTGGTCACGCGGACAGCGCGCCTACATTAGGACCATTAAATTTGATGCAAAGTCACATCACATCGCATCCGTGTGCAAACGAGATGATAAAAATGAAATACTTCCATCAGTGCGCGCGCGCACGCTGCCTGCAAACACAGACAGCAGAATTTAAAATAAAAGTGCATTCAATCGACGAAAAATCTCGTTAATGCATACAAACTTCTAAAAGAACAAAACACTAAAATAATCTTAAACACAAACCAACACACACGCGCGCGCACACACACACACGCGCACACACAGCAAAAGCAATCCTCTGAGGCCACATAAGCTTATTCACGTGCGTACGGAACAAAACAATAATTAAAAATTAAGATTTAGTATGAAAAGAACAAAAACGAATGAATGGAACATGGTTGGTGGGTACGTACTTGGATGCTTCCGGTACACTACTTCAAGTGTCTGTATGTTGGTTACGGCAATGTGCTGTCGGCGTGGCAACATGTTGGTTTGTTTGTATGTATGTTCATTTGCTTGTTGGTTGGTTTGTTTGTTTGTTTGTATGTTCATTTGCTTGTTGGTTGGTTTGTTTGTTTTTATGTTCATTTGCATGTTGGTTGGTTTGTATGTTCATTTGCTTGTTGGTTTGTTTATTTGTTTGTTTCTTTGAATAATTATATGTTAATACAAACAAAATTGTTTAAGAAAAAATATTTGGAGTTGCTTTTTATTTAAATATGAGAAAATTTTAATGCACAAATCTATTTGTTCGTATGCAATATTTTCTCCATTATGTGCACTTTATAGAGTAATATCTAATGCGCACTGTACACGTGTGGATCTACTTGTGTTATTAATGAAATATACCTTCCAGAATTATTTAGCTTTCGTGTAAACAATGGTTAATAACTAAATTATACGGGCTGTTATAATCTATCAAGATTATCTGTACCACCATAACAATCACCCCCATCACAATCACCATCCATACCATCATCATCATCACCATCATAATAATCACATCATCAATACCACATTATCAAAATCATCACCATACTCACCAGACCCAAATACATACATTGGTGTTTTGTATCCAATCTTTGACCTTGTTGATAGCAGTGGAGATGGGGCCGTACCTCGGTGTGGAGTGATGTAGCGGGGGCCAGTGGGAAGAGCCCTCGAAATCAGGCAGGAAGTCCTGCGCACCTATGTTACGTCATTCAGTTGATTGGTTGATTGGTTGATTGATTAGTGGATTAATCGATAGATTAAACAATATCTGTCATGTTGGTTTATTTGTTCATTAATCCGCCTACTTAAAAAGCGGACAAAAATGAAGCCATCTTATCTCCCTGGCACGAGATGAAGCAAATCCAAAAATCGATTGACATTGTGAAATGTTATTTTATTTTTTATTTATTTTAGAAAGTCCCGTTTTTATTATAGTGTTCTATCTTCATTTAATTATTATTTTAACCAAAAAAAACAAAATAAAAACTAGCAAATAATGAAACATAAAATTAAATGCACACGCAAACTCAGATAGGTGAGTTTATATGAAGAAAGTTGAACAAACACGCGTTCGTTAAAGCCGCCAACTCGGATGAAATCATTCAATAAATTGTCATGCGATTTGTTAGAAAGATTTCTCAAAGATTTTGAATATCTATACAAGCCGATCAGAGTTATTCGCATTTATTTTAAAATTATAAACGCGTCGTAATAACTCCTACTTAACGCTAGGTGCCATAAAAGAAACAGGAAAGCGAGATTGATGGAGTGCAAGCGAGTTGGAGAATGTTTGCGGACAGCGTGGCTCGATGAAATTTTTCCACATTAAAATCGCTTAAATTGAAGTTAACGAATCGACCACTCGTTAGTTTCTGTTGACTTTAAAACATTGAAACTTTTTATGAAACATTTTCTTTTTTTCCTTACTTACGCATCTATAATCCACAGACAACAATTTCTTGATGAACCTTGTTATAAACTTTCGTTAAACTTTGCCGATGGACCCTCCAACGCTGCGTCCAACAACAACAAAAATAAAACGCAACAAATCTTCCAACAAGCATCACAACCTCCAAACAAGACAACAACAGCAACAAAAACAACAGCAACAACAACAAATACTACTACTACCGCTACTGCTGCTGCTGCTACAACTACTGCTACTACTACTACTACTTTTGCTACAAGAACAACAACAACAACAACTACTACTACTACTACTACTACTACTACTACTACTACTACTACTACTACTACTACTACTACTGCTACTACTACTATTGCTACTACTACTACTACTACTACTACTACTACTACTACTACTACTATTTCTACTTCTACAACAACAAGTATTTGCA